AGGCCCGGGCAGGCACGCCCCGCCGCGTGCACCGAGTCGACGGCCCCGGACGACGGCCCGGCGGCCCGACGACGGCACGGCGCATTCCAACGCCGCAGTCCGTGATGGTCCGCGCGGCCGTCTGTCAGTCAGCCCGTCCGTCTGTCCGTCCGCGTCCCGTATGCCTAAGTGACCCGCCTGACTGATCGCCCGGTGCGGCCCGCCGTGGCGCGCCGTGGCGCCCACCCATACACGGACGCGCTTCCTGATGGCGGTTCCCCGGGGCCGCGCGGGGCCGCCGAGCCATACCGGGGCGCGTTATCGGCCGATTGGGGGTATTCTTGTTGGCGCAGCGGCGAGCTTCGCGTGACCGCCGCCATCACCGACCTTTATCGACGGCAAACCGCAAGGCCGTGAACCTGACCCCCACGATGTAGGCCAGCATGCTGCAGCACCAGTGCCGCCAGCGTGCTGCTGCCGGAGGTCCGACGCACGCGGGGGGCGTTTAAGGGGGCGGGGAAGTAGCGCCACACACACACACACACACACACACACCACACACACACACACACACACACGAGCGCTTTATAGGGTAGGCCCGTTCGTAGGGGCAATTAATTTGGTTCGGCTTCGGCCGTTGGGCCCATTGGGGGTCTTGGTCTTGGAAGACGCGCAATAGACTCTGCTATGGCGGTCGTTTCCGCCGTGGCTCGTGGCGACCGTCCTCGGGACGGTGTCCGCCACTTTGGCGAGGACGGCGACGACGGTGCATGGCCGCGGCCCCTCGGCCGATCTTCTGGCCCTCGGCGCCAGCCTGCGCCGTCGTCCTCCGAAAGCGCTTAGCGCGGCCAGGATTGTAAATCTGAGCGAGGCCTTCTTGCCCGTCGCCAAGATGCACCGCGCCGGCCCGGGCCCCGTCTTACAGTGTGAACGCGACATCACCATAAATTGGCGACTTGCCGGCCGGGGGAATTTACAGCAGCTATTACCTATTTTTTTCCTGTTCGCCGGGCTCCGCTTGGCTCCGGCTGGCTCCGGGCCCGGGGCTCTGGGGCGGGACTTTATCATTCCCGGATCCCCCTCCGTCCCCCCACCCCGCCCCGCGCCGGGGTTAGCCCGGGTTAGCGCGGACACGCTGGCCGCCTCATGAAGACGGTCGCGTCGCTTAATTCGCCGCCACGCTACACGACGACGCGCTACACGGAGCGCGCCGCGGACGCGCCGAGAAAGTGGCCGCGGATCCGAGCCGAGCGCTGCAGTGTAGCTGCGCAGCCGAGCCGGCGACTGCCTCCGGGGCCTGGCTGAGCCGATTCGGAGTACATCGTTTGTACGACCTCTTTTTGTCCAACCCGATGTTAACACCTACCGCTGTGCGCTGTGGGGTTGGCAGTGACGTGCCCTCTGTGATTCGGAACAACTGTCTTCAAGTACCCTGCCTGACCAATGACACTCCGTAGTCGTTGGCAGGCGAGAGCGTAGAGGCATTGACACGTAACAACAAGGTTGGTTGTTCGAATCCCGCCATTTCTTTGCTCTTTTCTGCACGCTAACAGGGCGAAGCGATCAAGCCTGGCTTCATATACACCGCCTTACCATTCGGTCTTCATGAGACGCGGTGGCTGCGAGCGTAGGGGCGTTGGTCTCCCAACTCGGTGGTCCGGGGATCGATGCCCACTGGGTCCACTATTTTCGGACCACATTCTGATTTCGCAATTTTGCGTAGACGGGCGCTTCCCTCGCGGTGATGACTCCCTTCACTCCGTGAGGTATATATACAACCTCTCGGCGGTCAGACCTCGTCCGGAAGGTTACGGGTGGCGTACGACTCCGTCGAAGAGATAATCTCTGTATGTTTTATTTTAAACCAAATTTTAAAGAGAGTTGTGTATATGACTCCGTCGTGGGTACCATGTTTTTGTTTCGTCGAGTGTTGAGCAGGCAGGGCTGAGGCTGTAATCAGGACGGACCTGTGAGTAGTGTAAAGGCCGATGCTTGCGCGACTGTCCAAGGCGGATTGTCCGGAGGGCGACCGACCGCGCCTCCCACGCCGAGCCTGGAGTCTGCAGTCCGACCAATTTCAGCTCAGTCCAGCCGAAACACAAACTGGCGGTTCGAAGCCGAGGCCGAGTCACGACTTCGTCCTACTGGCAGCCCCCCTTCTTTCCCCAGACAAAGCGGCCTAAATAAATGCCGGCTGCCTGCTGCAATGCTCACGTTGTTCAGTCAAACCGTCCAGGACTCGGTTCGGTTCAGGAGCGGGGCGGCGCGGCCCCCACCCAGCTGATGCCTCTTATCTGCGGGCCCCGGGTTCGATACGCGCTGCCGCCGGATTTATTCCGGAAGGAGATGCCGCCCCCGATCAATCTCCCGCCGGCCGGGACGAGGACGACACCTTCCGGGAAGGGATCCGTTTTTCTATCCGTTTTTATTTCATTTTTTCCCCCGCGGGGGCGTCACCGTCGGGCACGCCAGGGGACTGTCCGAGAGTCGCTCTGTCTCTCTCGCACTCATGGGGCGTCCCCTACTGGTGCGAGAGAGACAGAGCGACCCTCGGGCGAGGCTTGGGCCAGGCGGTGGGACGCGCTTCTCGTCGATCACTCGGCGCGTTATCCACGCTAACGGCCTCGCGGTGCGGCGCGGTGCGGCGCGATGCAGGCGGGGCACGCGATGGATCACAAAGGGAAGTCAGCCGAGCCGAATAAACCGGCCGAAAGCAAACTTATCCGCCGGCTGCTTCCGGAACGTCGCTCTGTCTCTGTCGCACTCGTGGGGGGCCTCCGCCACGCCTCCGCCAGGCGTGCGAGAGAGACAGGGCGACGGAATCGGCCGGCCGCCGAAGAAAGGCCGGCAATGCTCGGACCTCATTCACGCCGAAGCGAGGCAAAGCCGGCCCGGCGATCGCCGCTGCTAATCATGTGGTCCGGGAACTCCGACCCGGCAGAGGGAGTTTCTTCATTAAACTGAGCGCGTAATGAGACACAGCTGCGGAGAACGAGAAAACGAACCGCGGGAGAACCGCGGAGCTGGCGGGGGCGGCCGGGTCAGCGCCGCGAACACCTCGCAGCCTCGCGAGTTGACCCAGCCCGTTGGCCCGGCCGCGCAGCCGGACCAACTTGTTCCGCAGCGGCCGGGCCGAATACCTCCGAGGAGCCCCCACCTGCCCGCCACGCCCCACCTGCCCTTGGCTCGGCGCGCGGGCGGGGCGGGGCGGGGCCGATTGGGCGGGGCGGTGCGTCGTCGGCCCGCTCGGCCAGCCGGCTTGCCATTGCTTGCCATCCTGCCCGCGTCGAAGATGAGAAATTCGGCGGTGTTTCTTTGGCGGAATGATTTGCGAGGCTCTGCGCGTTTGCTGCGCGTTCGCTGCGCGCTGCAATGCTTTATTTAGCATTCTCTGGCGGTGGCCTGGCGGCATTCCTGGCTGGGAGTGCGGACTGCAGAGCGATGGCTGGCCGGCCGGCCCCTCCACCTGCATTCCCCTCGATTCCCCCCGACGGCTCCAGCACCGCGGCACCCCGCGGCACCCTGCGGCACCCCGCGCTGCGCTCGCCGAGAGAAGTTCCTGTTTTTTTTTTTTCGAAACTTTTTCTTGCGTGACTTTGAATCCCTGCTCTCCGGCGCAGCTGGACCGTCGAGCGTCGCCCCGCCCCGCCCCCTTCCTCCAGGCCTTTTTCCTCTCTAAAGACTGGAAATTTATTCGGAAACCTTGGAGAACGGCGACGTGCTGCGCGGCGTGGCGCGGCGCGGGCTATTCCCCGCGCGACCACTGTAGTTATGAGAACGGGGGCGTCGCCGCGCACGTCCTGCCCGCCTTCATGCCGGCGACGATCCTCGGCAAAGTTCGTTTTGTCTTTTCCCCGGCGAGGCTTCCCGCCCCCGCGCCGCCCCCCGCGCCGCCCTTTGCGGCGGTCACAAGTTGGGTTGAAACCGGAAGTAGTTGGCGCCGCGCGGCCAACTTGGACGAGGCCCTTCAACAAACTTGCACCGCGTCGATACACGCGCGTCAGTGGGTGCGCGCGTCGCGCGTCTGTCTGTGTGCGCGCGTGTGCATGCGCGTGTGTGTAACTTTTATTCGCAACGAGAGCGGACGTGCGCCGCGGAGGTATTCGGGCCAGAGCGCGAGGAACGAGGAGAGAAAGGGACAGCCCGATGTGGGATACGCGTGTGTTGGAGGAAGAGGCAGGGCGGGGCAGGGCGGGGCAGCCAAGGACGGCCCGACTCTCCGTCGGCAGGCGGTGGAAAGTAAACCGGTCTGCGCCGCGCCACAGGCAGCCACAGGCCGTGCCGCCGCGCTGCCCCCTCCCCTTTGTTTCCGACCCACCTTTCTTTTCATCCTCGGCAGCGTGAAGATAAACGCCAATGAATGGCTACCTGTATTGCGCAGCCACTTGGCGTGGCGGTGCGGCGTGATGGATCATGCGTCGCACGACTATTCCGAACGGATTCGCCGCTCTCTCTCTCTCTCTCTCTCTCTCTCTCTCTCTCTCTCTCTCTCTCTCTCTCTCTCTCTCTCTCTCTCTCTCTCACCCTTGCGGGGCGCCCCGCCAGGACAGAGACCGCGCGGCGGAAAGCGCTGTTCGGAATCCAGCCAGGCTGGGCCAGGCCTGCTGGACCGCGCGCTCGGGATGAAGGACCACCCACCGCCCCACCCCCGCCGCGCCGTGCCGCGAGCGGTTAGGCCGGACATTATTCATGGCCAGCGGACTGATTCCGAGAGTCGTTCTCGTCGCTCTGTCCCTCTCGCACTCATGAGTGTCATGTATGGGCGCAAGAGAGACATGGCGTCGAGAAGACTCTCGGAATGAGTCTGCAGGGCTGGCGGGCTGGCGCTATAGCCGGGCGGCTGGACGGAGCGGACGGGGTTCATGATGGAGCGCGCGAGGCGGCTGGTCTCGTCGGATAGCTTCATACTTCACTCACCACGTTGATTCGTCAGTCTGTCTTTTTCGCACTTGCGTGCCGCCACGCAGGGCCGCAGGGGTGCGAGAGAGACAAAGCGGATCGGACTTTTGGTGTGTACTTACGTCGCTTTTGCCGCGCTTCGTCGTAGTGTCCAGCATTCAGGAATCGAAATGGGGACGGGCCGGTCTGCAAAACACAAATACGAGTCGGTCAGTCGGTCGGGCTGTCCGGTCGGGCGGCGGACGACGCTGGCCTCGACACACACCCACGCCAACCCACGCCCACGACCGCGTTTGCAGTGTGCTGGTGCGCACCGCGCCGCGCCCCTGTTTGACTTTGTTGCATCCCCCGTGGCGCTGGAGGGGACGGCGAGGTTGCTCGTATAAAAATGATGTGGCTTGACCCGGAGCACGTCCCTGGGTTGTGCTTCTCCTTGCGTCCCTGCTGAGAAAAAAGACACACACACACACACACACACTACTGGAGCACGGCCAGGGTCGCCAACAGCAGCTGGACACATTATTTGGCTTCTGGACGGCCGCACAGCACTGCAGTAGTGATCCGGTTTCCAGCGGGGCACCCGTCTTTCCGCTGCCAAAGAAAGCACCCCCCCCCCCTACACACACACGAACACACGAGCGGCGCCTTGACCCGTGCAGTGTGGGTGTGGATCCGCAGCCGGCGGCCCAACGAACGAAGGGACGGCAAAAAGCGTGGCCGCCGTGCCGCAGGACCGCAGGGTGCTGCGGGCAGCGAGCATATCGCAGTGTGCTGCGGCTCGGTCGAGGGCGCGAGGGGTGCCCCACCGTGCGGCTTGACGGCCAAGGTCACCGTCAAGGTCACCGTCGAGGTCACCGGCAAGGTCGCCCCGCCAGCGCCTTGCTCGCCGTCCACAAATCGGCACGGCAAATAGGCCGGCCAGGCTTTCGGCCCCCACCCGCGCGGCGTGCCGATGTGTACAGTGTGGTGGTATACAGTGCGGGAGTGGCAGAACGAAAACAAGAGGAGCGGGCGCGCTTACTTTCCGGGTGCGTACTGCACTGGAAGCAACAAGTCGTCGCCAGGTCCGGTCTGCCGCGCCACGCCGCGCCACGCCGCGCCACTCGGCCAGCTTGCCGGACTACTTGTCCGTCTCGCCGCCGGCCCGACGCGGCCCCGCCGACCCTGACCGACCCAGCGTGTGAGAGTCATCTGCTGCCCCCCGCAGCCCCGCCCCACCCCGCCCCGCCGCGCCCCGCAGATCCAGTTCCCTCTCAAAAACTCGGTCAAGTAGCTGTTTTTCGGTCACGCGAATAATGCCGGAATCTCACGCATGCCGGGCTCCTCCCATGTGGCCTGCCGCCTGGCCGCCCCACCCCCACTTCTCCTTTCGAGCCTCTCTCCGCCTCTCCCACGGGCCGCCTAGGGCCGCCTAGGGCCGCCGGTGCGCGGTGCGCGCCATCGCCCGGCTCTCATTGTCGTGGCTAATTTCATGTTCGCCTTTATTACGCGCGCGTGTGTTCGTTGCGCGCGGGACCGTACAGTGTCGTGTCCTCCAACAAACGGCTGGAGCGCGGTGAAAAAAATCTCATTCAACGAACGTTAATGAAAGCAGATGATCCGTCGCGTTTCACAAGTGCTGTGATAGCCGAGAGGTTAGAGACGTGGGATCGAGTTACCGCAGGCCGGCGTTCGAATACCAGCGTCACAAAGTTTTTTCGACTTGCTATCCTAAGGGTGGTGGTTCGAGGCCATGAGAGCGGAGCCGTGTGCAACAGGCCCACATGCCGGAGGTTCGACTCCTAACAAATATTTCCATTTAATTTTACTGCCTCACCCAGTGCGGTTCAAACCCGTAAACGTGAGCCCACTCCGAGCATGGGACGCGGTGGTCCAGGGAGTAGAGGCGTCGGTTCTCAGTGCTAGGGTCGGCGGTTCGACTCCCCCAACTTCTTGCGAAATTTTGACCGGGTCGGTCGAGTCCAGTTGCGTCAAGAACCCACCTCACGCCGATCCCCTCATCATGGGCCGTGGTGGCCGAGAGCGTAAAGTCGTGTGATCCCGATGGCGGGGTCCGGGGATCGAATCCCATCATTTCATTACATTTTTCGACCGCCTTCCTCCCAGTGCAATTCAAACCCGTCGTCCAACACGCTGCCAGACGTACAAGCGTGATAGCGTAGTGGTCAGAGTCACATTCACCTGGCCACTCCGCTGTGGGTGTCTAAAAAGCAATCCGCTTCGGCGGGTTGGCCTCGGCACTGGAGCGATGGAGTATTTGATCCATCAATCCAGACCATCCGGTGTGTGGTTGCGGGTGGTGCCTCCTTGACTCGTCGGGGAGGCGATGATAAGTCCTTTGAAGCTGGCCTAAAACGCTGTATGTTCGGTACGGGAGCGCCGGACAGTGGGGGTACCATGGGGTACACAACCAACCCTACGAAAACAAGAAGCTCCCACCAAACCTCTTCTCTGTCTGAGTCTCTCTCTGTCTCTCTGTCGTCTCACTCTACGTCCCGCCCCTCAAAGGGCTTCGTACTGGGTCCTCTGACCCAGCTGCCTGAGCTTTGGGGTCCTACTGGGTCCCCCGGCGAACGCTTAGAGTCGCTGACGGGATTAACCCCAGGTACCTGATAGCACCGGTTCCCATCCCGAACACCGAAGTAAAGCAGGAGGCCTCCCCATTAAGACTGGGGAGGGGGTGTAGAGTTCAATTTTTTTTCTTTTCCCTTTCAAATTTCTCAGTCAATACTCGTTCGGTTTCCTTATACGGGGTAGTATGCGGGCTCATTCCAAAGATAGTAATTAAAATTGTGTATTAAACAAAATATATAGACCCGAGCGAGGTGGCCGGTGTTGGTACTAGCCGTGCCGAGCTGTGGCCTGCACCGCCCGCCGCCGAGCGGGCGGGACAAGCGGCGGGCAGCCAGCGCGCACGTGAGTGAAGCCGTGCCGGCGGGGCTGGCGGGGCTGGGCCTGCCCTGCATCGTGTAAACGGCCGGTAAGCACACTTTCTCACCATCAAGGCCAACATGGCCAGCGCGGCCGGCAGCCTCTGGCAGCCTCCACTCCCCTCCTCCTCCGCACACCGCCACGGTCGGGCCGGCCGTCCAGGCGCCGCTCTTGTTCTTCTGCAGGTGGATTTCACGAGTGCCTCGACGAGTGGCGCGCGGGCCGAGGCCTCCACCACACACTTCCCGTTTTCGGCTCACGCTGCTGTTGACGCATGGCGCGCGAGCCAGCCGCCAGCCGCCCCAATGCGTCCGTCCGGTCAGAGACCCCCGTCGGCTCGGTGGTGCGCGCGCCCGCTTTAATCAGTGCCTCGATCACGACGATCATGAGCACGAAGCGGGGCGGAGCAGGGGAGGCATGCGCGCTCATCACCGGAATTATCATCCCAACCGCAATAGCCATGCTCATCTGCAAACAGCGGGAAACGCTGCTGCTCTCGCCACCGCGCGGCACTGCGCCGCGCGCGTCGTCCGCCTCGCCAGGGCACTGCACTGCCTCGCAGCTGCAGGTGCAGCGGTGCGCGGCGCCAACAAGCACCACGATAAACGATTGGAGTGCGGGGCCGTCGGCCGCCGGGGCGCTGCCCTGCCCCGCCTGGCCCTGCCGTGCACCCAGAACTTTCCCTGGTGCAAGAGAGCAGAGCAATCGCAGATCATCGGGTGGGGCGGGGCGGGGCGGGGCGGGCAGCGGGCCGTGAAGAAGGGGGCAGCGCACCTATGAGCACTCAATCAGGGACTGCGCAGGCCGCAGCGGAGCGGTGACCGTTAGGCACACTTGTCAAGCACGCAGCACGCGCTGCGGCGTCAATGAGGCCGTGGTGATGACCGAGGTCCCAGGCTCAAGGTTCGAGGCACGAGTTTTCGAGGTTTGAGGTTCAAGGAGGTTCGAGGTAAATAGGTTCGAGGTACGAGATTCGAGGTTTGAACACGCTGCAGCTCCAAAAGAAGGCCCTGTGACTCTTTTAGGAACAGCCACCTTTGCGCAATGTCAACACGAACTAACAGAGAGGCAAGCAGACAGACAGACAGACGGACGGACGGACGGACGGACGGACGCGCTCGCTCGGCGCAGGCATCCGTGGCGGCGCGTCAGTGCAGCGCGTTGCAGCGCGTTGCAGTGCCGCCCCTTTCTCCGGCCGCAAGAAACGCCTTGGTCGCGGCCTTCGTGCCTTCGCGCCGCATTGTCCCGCGTCGTCCCGCGGCGCGCGCACCGAGACGCGGCGTGCGAAACACGTCATCAGCGCCACGGCCAGCGACAGCCGGCGACAGCCAGAGTCACTGCCAGAGGCAGCAAGACGAAAAATGGAGGAAAATATTGGGAATCGATCTCTGGATCCCAGTGACGGCATCGGGCGCCTTTTCGCTTTCGGCCGCCACGGTTCAAGAGCGAGGCGCCCAGGGCTTGCCGTCTTGGCCCGGTGCTCTCGCCGTGCGCACTGCGGAGGTGCCGTCGTCCGTGTCGACGTCGGCTGCGTCGCCGCGTCGGGCCTGCCCTGCCTTGCCTGCCTGCCCTACCTGCCCTACCTGCCCTACCTGCCCTACCTGCCCTACCTGCCCTACCTGCCCTACCTGCCCTACCTGCCCTACCTGCCCTACCTGCCCTACCTGCCCTACCTGCCCTACCTGCCCTACCTGCCCTACCTGCCCTACCTGCCCTACCTGCCCTACCTGCCCTACCTGCCCTACCTGCCCTACCTGCCCTACCTGCCCCCCTACCTGCCCTACCTGCCCTACCTGCCCTACCTGCCCTACCTGCCCTACCTGCCCTACCTGCCCTACCTGCCCTACCTGCCCTACCTGCCCTGGCACGCGCTGGGCCGACGGAGTACGCAGGGCGCTCGCTATCTTAATGCGATCGGTCGGGCCACGCGACACCCCCGCGTCCCCCCCACCCCCGCCCCCCGCAGAGATAACCGCGGGCCACGTCACTGTTGGCCCCCTGGGCCGCCCTGGGCCGGGCCGGGGCCGGAGGGACTGACGCCTATAAACGGGCCTAAACACATCGCGCAGTCCCCGGCCGAGGTTCCACCGTAGCTGCGCCGTACCGCGCCGTAACTCAGGCCGGCGTGACGTCGCGAGTATCTCCGGCGCCGTTTCTCATGCCGTAGGGCTGTTTTTATTCGGAGTAAAAGTAAGTGAATATCTTGGCAGTTTGCGGGGGCCTTTCCACACCTCCAACCCTTGCGGTGGATGGGG